AGAGGAGGCAGGCTTCGGACAGGCCACAGAGAGCCCGCAAGAGGCCTGCCAGCTGCCGAGAGCGGTTTGGGGGCGGTCCAAAATGCCTAACGTCGCCTTCAGGCTTCGGACAGGCCACAGAGAGGCCGCAACAGGCCTGCCAGCTGGCGAGGCCTCGGACAGGCCTTTGGAAGTGCTTGGAAGGGTTCTGCTAGGCTTGGCCAACTGCTTCATCCTGCGCCTTTGGAAGTGCTTGGAAGGGTTCTGCTCGGCTTGGCCAACTGCTTCACCCTGCGGTGTCCCAGGCGCCTCCCCGCCTAGGCTTTGGCTATAGGCCGGGGTCGGCGGATATATACACAATATATATACAATATACACAACGTGTTTTCCGTATCCCCACCCCTTTGGGATGGGCTCTGATTTTCTATTTTTTTTAAACCTAGAGGAACACTCAGTCAGTACAACGTCGCCTCTGTACGATGTATCTTTTTGTAATGAGATATTATACGGCCAAAGCTGGGTATTCAATGTAGATGTTGGTAGCAAAGGGCATTCCACAGCAGTCTGGCATTATAGCCTTACCCATGTAGAGAACACATCGTTTCATGACAACATCACTCAATCGGCGCCCAGGTACTCCCTCCTTACTCCATATCGTTTCGAGGTTTGCTGGAGTTAATAGAGGTCTAGTCAGAGGTCTTATTCAGCTTGGGTTTTACCTTGAGACAACACCTCGTTTTTTTACAAACACTGTTTGAAGGAGCCTTTGCTTTTCTACGAGTGGACGCTGTGGTTGGGTGGCCAGCTCTCTGTCATGAATTGGCGCTTTACAGCCCGGCGAAAGGCTGGAGCACTTATTGGTATCCACATTCCAGCATAGAATTGTATTATCATGAGTTTTTTTTTTGGGGGGGGGGGTTCCTAGATTTTTAGGGAAACTTAGCCTCAATGCTTCGCTGTGTATACTTCTTTCAAGTTCATGACGACTTTCGTTGATTCATGAAGATTTTGACAGCTCTCAATGTACTACAGAATTCTTGGCATTGCAAGGGCCTTTCACTGGCGGATGATTCCGAGAAGGAGTCGTTTGAGCGTATGTCACCTCGATCACAACAGAGGCAGTGCTCAAATGCCGCCAAAAACATTGTGGCAAGTCAGGTTCTCAGGTTTGACAGCTTGCTTTGCATGGGTGCAGGTGGGCAGTGGAGAAGCTAGTGGATGCCTACGAGAATGCAGGGCGACCTGTAGAGGAGCGCTCACAAAGCTGGCCCCGAATTCTGTGGTCTTTTCTTGAGACATGCATTTTGTGAGAGAATCATTGCCTTGTGCACTTGCCCAGGAGCTCAAAGTCAAGGCTCCATCATGTGATGCCGACGTCATCCTCTCTGAGGCAGGATGTGCAGTGCTGCGGATTTGCGACAAATGTCGATGAATTCTGAATTGCTGACTCGAGCGAGTTGAGCTAATTAGTAGCGTCCTTGCTCCTAGTAGCGATGCCAGGAGCCCCTAGTAGCTGACACAGGGTTTTTGAGTTTGTGATTGCAGGTCATGCACTCGGTGCCAAGATTAAAGGGCGTGAAATGGCGGTGAGAAAAGTCACTGTCTGAAGTGCAAGTGCGAGGGCGGTTTATGTGCTTGCTGCATCTTGCTGCTCGATGTTCTCGTGATTTGAAAACTCAATGAGAATCCCATTGAGGATACACTCGAAACGCAGAACACCGACTATGCAGGTCGCAAAACGTGCAAGAGCCAGTTGAGAGGGCCGAGAAGCCTGAGCCAGAGAAAGAGACAGTGGAGAAATGTGAAGAGGAGATGGACGTGGTAGCTATTTGCTGCTAATAGCTTCTTGCTCCTAGTAGCGATGCCAGGAGCCCCTAGTAGCTTCTTGTTCCTAGTAGCGATGCCCTTTGCTCCTAGTAGCTATTTGCTCCTAGTCGTAATGCCCTTGTTCCTAGTAGCGTCCTTGCTACTAGTAGTAAGGCCAGGAGCCCCTAGTAGCGTCCTTGCTCCTAGTAGCGATGCCCTTGTTCCTAGTTTCAAAACTCAACATTGATAAACATTGTATCTAAACTTCTTATGCACAGCAACCCTTTCGCCGAATAGATCGGACCATAAAGCACAATGAGAGACAGTCGAGACATTGCCCTGCTCCGAAGGAGTTTGAAATGACCTTCGGGCATGGCGGAGTCACACTTCCCAACTTTGGCAGCAAGGAGTGTGACAGCACTGACAGCACCAAGAAAAATGAATGACGGCTCAAGCGAGGTGGCGCAACTCTGAAGACCAACTCGAGGATCTTCAGGATGCTTGAGAGAACGAAGAATTAGGAGCTGTGCCACCTCGCTACCGTTGTTCGAGGTGTACTTCAAATCATTGTTTCAAGCGCTGCAGGCAGCGGAACGGGCGTTTCGCTTTGTTTGCGTTAGAAAAGGGTCTTCATGACAAGTACCTAGTTCATCCATTCACATGAGGCATCATGAGACCAGGAATATGATCCCGGCCGCCAGGGAACTTAACTTATTTAATTCATTTAGCCTACAACTGTAATCTGTAATCCTTGTGTTTCCACGCGAAAGCTATGCAACCTCCTGCAACCCAGAGCTTTTTCCTCGCCGCCCTCAAGCTTTTGCTTCTTGACAGTCCAAAGCAGAGCTGTCATGTGACGCAGACTCAGCAGTAACCATTTCAATGAGCGACCATATCTAACCATCTCATTGATTTCCAAAGCTTTGTGCCTATATGCTGTAGGCTGGTAGAAGCAGCTTTCCATACAAAAGGCCTCAAAAGGCCGAGATGGCCAAGACAGGTCTTGAAAGGACATTTTTGCAAAATGAATGGGGTACCGTCCTCTATGGACGGCCCGCCCGTAGTATTACATCGTCTATAATGTGGAATTTGCCTAGAATATTACTTTCTGTTTGCTCTTGTACAAACAGATCGACAAGCACCGTGTGACATGTGTGCCGTCCTTCCATCGCAAGACGCCTCAGTCATCCTCAGTCCGTGTTGCCACGCATCTAATTCCTGGTGATTTGCATACCGAGGCCCGCCAGGCCACAACTTTCTTCACCATCGCAGGACCTCAAGGGACCTTTCGGTGACATGAAGTGGACAAGTGGAAAGGACACTTCTTGGAATCAAATGCAAAAAGAGCTTAATAGGTTGGAGGCCGTCGCTCTTTGGTTGGAGGCCATCGCTATTAAAAGCAGCTGCACTCAAACCCATTGAGTGGTGGAAGTTCTTGGAGTTATATAACGTGGCCAGCAACAGTGGCTCAAGCGATGTCTTTGCTTTTTCAAATGGCCAGATGGCCAACCCTCTGCTTGCACCACCCTTAGTGAGCTTGCAAGAGAGGTGGAACACATTCCAGTTTCGCGGATTTTGATGTTTTGACAGTCTCAGCATGCACACTTCTTTCTTGCTTCTTACAAGCTTGCGATGCTTTGTGGAAGTGTCCCTGCCAAGGACGAGAGTCACGCAATCGCAGCCTTCAAGCAGCAGCTCGGTATCCACATCAAAGAGGAGCCATGGAGAGTGGAGGTGTTCGATGGGAAGTCATCACACCAAGCGTCGGCAAGGCAGCAAATTGAAATCAAGACTCAGACCATTCTAATTTGTTGAATAAGATTCAAACCGTCAGAAGGATGATGTAGCTTCACCTAGAATGCTGGGTAGTGAACAAAACACCCGAATCATCCTGAATCTTTGTTGGTTGACCGGTAGCTGTTTGTGCTTCGGCTTCATTTGCATTGCCTGCGCTCCAATTTGTTTGTTGTTCAATTGTGAGGAGGACGAGTTTGGATGGATTGCAGAAGTTGGTATCCAAAGCCCACTTCCTCCACGCTGGACGGCACATTCCGACAGTTCATCGGGTTGCTCAGAATGCACACACTTGTTTCTAATAGCTTCTTGTTACTACTAGTAAGGCACCTGCTACTACTAGTAAGGCACCTGTTACTACTAGTAAGGCACTTGTTACTAGTAGCGTGGCACTTGTTACTAGTATGCACAGACCTTTCGTGACACTTTCGCAGTGGACTGACCTTCTGTGACACGAAATCGTGACTTTCACACAAGGCTTCGTATACTATGTGGATCACGACAGGCTGAGACCCAGCAGCTGGAGCACCAAAGTGCAGGGGAACCAGCCTTTGTTTGGCTACGCAGTAGATCATGTTGCTGCAATAATACAATTCGATGCACTTCGTATCTATATAATCTAAATAGAGACGGCGAATAAACTTGTTCTGTGGATGCGCATGGGATTCTACGCAAGTTCTGAGTATCTATCCAACACGCAAGAGGTAGTATTTTAGATTGCTTGGGAGACGGACATCTCGAGCACTTTGGGTGGCCCCAACGGTTTACTATGGTTTACTATAGGACTATAGGCTCCTTATCTTGAAATCCCTTTGGAGGCAAGTCAGCAGTTGGGAGAATCCCTTGGTGCCTTGCCTACGGCGAATCGTGGAGATAGGCGGACATGGAGTGATTTCGCTGAGTCGACCACCTTGGCGTAAAAGCAAGTGCACCACCTTGCAAGGCCGAAACTACCTGAAATGCTATTCGGCCGGTTATTTTGAGGAGCAGAAGGGTATTTTGTGGCACCAGCATAAGCAAGAACTGGACAAGTGGCATGGCCCCTTTATGGATGATTCTGGGCGCCAGTGCCTTTGTGCGATAGCAAGAGTGGACGCAAGAGAACCACCGTAAAACATCTTAAAACATCTTAAAACCGTGCATTGACCGTCCATCTTTGATCGCTTGCACCTCCTTAAGGTATTTCGTCAACTCTGAGGACGGTATTTCTTCTTGGCAGGACCCGCGAATAGACGCGCAGTGCTTTGCTTGAAAGTAGGATTTGTATGGATTTGTATGATTGCAAGCCATGTTTGTCTGAAATGGGGAAGCGCATTGCCATGTCAAGCTTAAATCTGCACACCCTTCGAAATCTGCACATCCTTCAGCTTAAATCAGGACAACCCCACTCGATTTGCAGTCGAAATTGGCTTGAATCTTTTGAACTCATGTTGATTTCCTCGGCATGTATCAGCAAAGGTACATCTTCGAATTGGAGAGTGGTTTGCTGACCAGCCTGGAAGAAATTCTACCTCCAGCAAGACCAGACACTCCGAACTTTGAGCCCAAAGATGGCGAGGATGGACGTCAGTGGAAAACTGCTGAGGGTGCGGAGACTAACCTCAAACAGCGATGAAAACAATTGGGTCATGTTCGGTCTCTGTCACTGTGTAGTGTCCTTTAGTGGCTGCTTTTCTTGTTGTTTTCTTTTGTTTCTGTATCTTCTCCTGGTTCTGCCATGCTCAGGAAGTTCTCACTTTGGATGACACGAGCAAGATCATCACCACAGCAGCTAAGAAGACTTTCCGCGAGCGCAAGTCCAGGACACTCACCTCGACTGATGCTTGGCAAATCTGTCAACAAATCGGTGCCTCCAACCTACTTGTGACGGCCTCCACCTAATAGTGTCCTTGCTA